GGAGAGCTTACACATGAAGTTAGGCAAGGCTGACTCACAGAGCAGAGAGAAAGGTTTTCTGTTGCTCCTCACGTTTCTGGGCTCTGAGGGGAGAGATGGGAAGGAGGCTGTCGATGTTTTTTGAGGTGGGGGAAGGAGGGATGTACTGCTGTTATGGTTCCCATTAAGGAGCTCAGGACTTACCGTCTCCTGTCCCCAACCTTGATTATTTGAATATCCCCATCCTTAAAGATAATTTCAGAAAACACTGCTGGGCACTGTAAGCTCTTTGCAGTTTCAGGGGAGTTCTTTTAAGCACCAGGTGTCACCACACTGACTTTGGACTTGTGACTTAATCTCATGGTCCCTTCCTATCTTTCAGTCATTCCTGTCTGTGGAAAAGATACAACACAGACCAGCTTCCTTCACTATTATGAATCTGCAATAAATCATTTGGAAACTTGCACTGAGTAAACTGTTCAAAGAAAGGAACCCTAAGAATCAAGAGCTTTGCCTACTTCCTCCACAAGGCAGATCGTCCCTATCTGGGCTGTGTTTGTTATAGGCTTGGGGGTTTGGGGGCACATTTTCTATCTTCAAGGACAGAATTAGAGGCTATGGGTAAGATTCCAGGTTCTTTTGTTGGTCTTTGGAAGCCTTGTTCTTCCTCAGTTTCCATCTGCATTTGTAGTGCAAACTGGATTCATCTGAGTAAAAGAAAGAATGACTGTCTCTGGGTTTCTCCAGGCTGGGACTGGTGCTGAGGGATGGTTTGTGGGTAGCAACACTCTTCCAAGGTTAGAGCCCCACACTTTGTGCTGTGGGAGGCCCTCATGGGCAATGTCCAAGCAAGAACTCCAGGAGTCAGCTAGAGCCGGGAGAAGGAAGTGGGCATCTTCAATTGCTGTTACAAAAGCCTGGATATTTCTGTACACAAACCAGCCCTTAGCACGGCCCATTGCCCACCACCACCATCACCTCTCCTCTTCTTCAGCATATGCAGGTGTCATTTTGGTGACTGTCATCCTGCTTTGCATTTCCTCATCTCCTTCTTGGCCATGGCTCTAAAAGAAGGGCTAGTACATTCATCTGGAGGTCAACCATGAAAGGCCAGGCACATGTACTGAGCATCCTGCTTTCTTTTAATAACCTGCTAGGGCTAATGACATGTGGATTTAGACCCATCTTGAATTCATATGTATTTTTCTTCATCACATGTCCCACAGCTTACCTCACACTGGATAGACTTTTACATGTCATACAACTACTACCACTTTTAAGTTCATGGGGTAGCCCATAGCAATTTGGGATCTAAAGCTTAAAGGGGTTCTGCAAATGGTGGGAACTAACTTCCAAACTAATAATTTCTCCCCTCGACAAACAGATATTCTGAGTGAATAGGTATTTTCTTTTAAATAATTCCATTCTTCCCCTATCCAACATATCCCTTGTTGGTTGTTACCAATACCCAATTGGAAAGCCCAGATCTGAAGCAACCTAGCCAACAGCTGAAAAAATAGTCTGTTTCAAAGACTTTACAAAAAAATGATTCTCCTGTGGCCTCTGAGCACCTCTCATTTTGGGTCTCCCTGCGTTTGATGTAATATCTATTTGGTTCTTAAAAGTGGTGCCAAATGTAATATTTAAAAGGGCTGGCAGAATTTTGCAGCTTTTGACCTCACTGGAAATCTTGTTCACTTTCAGGGGGTGGGGAAAGGAGAGGGTATTAAAATGCAGCATGAAGTCCATGATGTTTTTGAGAGTAAGTTTTTCATCCTGAGATGGTATTTTCCATAGTAGCCACTGGAATGACCACAGTGAAAGGGAAATTCTCACCTCACCAAGAGCTTCCTGATATTTTGGATGTCCACTAAGCAGGTTAAAATAATCAGATGGGAAAAAGTTATAGATGTTGACACATTTCTTAGCTTGCTCCTAAAGCATTCAACAGTTATGACCCTCTTGCTCTTCTTCTCCCTAGACCAGTGGTTCTCAACTAGGGGTGATTTTGTGCCCCAGGAGACACTGGCAATGTCTGAAGACATTTTTAGTTGTCACACCTGATGGTTGTTGGTGTGCTACTGGATGTAGTGGGAAGAGGTCAGGGATGCTACTGAACACCTTATGGAGCACAGATTCCCCCTCACCCCCAACCCCATCCCTCACGAAGGAATTATTTGCCCAAAATGTCAAATAATGCTTAGATTGAGAAACTGTGGTTTAGACTTTGAGGACTTGTTAGATTGAGGGCTTGGATAGTGTGTGGTGGTGAAGGTAGGCATTGACAGTCTTTTCATGGGTCCCTGTTCTCTTTAGCTGCTGCTTTTGGTTCCTTTTCTATGCAGATTGTGAGAGGAAACAATTATCATAGCTTTATTTATTGAGTGCCTTGTACCGAGTGCTGGAATTATTCAGTCTTCACAATAAGCCCTACTGACTATACACACTCCTTGAGAGCAGGGTCTGTCTCTATTTCGTTACTGTACACAGCATGTCTAGTACAGTGCCTGGCACATGGTAGGTCCTCAACATTTGGATAAATGTTGTAATTACATCCATTTTATACATGAGGAAAATGAGGCCCGAAAATTCTACACAGCTAAGTAGCAGAGTCGGGATATGAACTGAACCTGTGTGACTTTAGTAGCAAATCACTTACTCACTGAATTATATTCCTCACTTGCAGCACCAGAGAGGTTTTCTAGCCTCTAAAATCACTGGTGAGGGGCTGAGCAGAAAGAAGTTGTTTAAAAAATACAACAACAACAAAAAAAAACCCCAGAAACTACCTCTGTGTGGAAACTAGTGGTAAGAGCCTTACGGAAGTACTCTCTGGCTCTGATAGGCAGCTGATTCTGAACAGCGATTTTGGCTTTTCAAGTGTTCACGTGTGTGCTGTCCGAGCCGCGCATTTTGCGGATGGGAAAACCGAGGCGCCTAAGTTTCATGAGAAAGTAGTCGTAGATGCATCACTGGAACATAGCACTTTGGATAAAGAATGCTCCAGCCCTTGGGCACCAGCCGGGAGTCTCTGAGTAAGGGGCTTCCCGGGAGTAGATTTAAGCTTGCTCAACTCTTTCCCTCCCAGAAGCAAAGCTCAGATCACCTCTTAGTCTTTCCACCCTGGAGAGAGCAGCCAAGCGGGACTACATCTCCCAGCGGCCATTGTGAAATTCGGCAAGGCGTAGGCGCTGTGGAGCGGCGTGCGCACCCGACTCCCGGCGTGCAGTGGGCGGGGCGGGACTACATTTCTCAGGAGGCAGAGGAGGGGCGGGAGGGGGCGGGTCGTGGCGGTGCTCCCGCCCCTCCCCCGTGCTCGCTCCGAGAGGTAAACAAACCGCGCGCGGGCAGCGGGCGGCGCGACTCGGGTGGCGGGCTCGCCGCGGCGAGAGCGGCTGAGCGCGCGCCGAGCTGCAACCGGGCTACCCAGCCCGCCAGCCCCACAGGTCCCGGGGCGGTGCCGGACTGTAGCCGCCAGAGGCGCCTCCTGTCGGTCGGGGAAGTGAGCACGGAGAAGCCCCGGTCGCCCCCCGCGATGCCCATGGAACTGGTGCGGATGATCAACGTGCAGCGCCTGCTGGAGGCGGCCGAGTTTTTGGAGCGCCGGGACCGAGGTAACGGCTGAGCGCCGCCACCTCCGCCACCGCCTGAGCCCGCGTACTCCTGCTTCGCGCGGGGAGTGTGGTGCGCGTGTAAGGAGGAGCGTGTGTGTGAGCGGTGCGCTTGTGAGGAGGGGTGCAGTTGTGAGCGCTGCGCTTGTGTAGAGGGGTGCGCGTTTGAGGGGGGGGAGTGTGAGGAGGGACGAGTGTGAGAGGAGGTGCAGGTGTGAGGGATACTGGGAGTGGAGGTACACTTGTGAGGGCAGGTGATTGTGTGTGGGGAGGTGAACATAGAGGAAGGAGGTGATTGTGAGGGGAGATGATCGTGTGAGGGAAGGTGATTGTGTGTGGGAGGTGGTCCTAGAGGAGGTGATCGTGTGAGGGGGTGGTCATGTGAGGGGAGATGGTAGTGTGAGGGGAGGTGATCGTATGAGGGGGTGATCCTGTGATGGAAGTGATCGTGTGAGGGGGTGATCCTGTGAAGGGGGTGATCGTGGGGGGAAGGTGACTGGGACGGGATGCACGTGTGAGGAGGCGGGCGCGTGAGAGGCCGCAGGTGTTGCGGGAGGGTCCAGGTAAGTGTGGAGGATGAGGGGCAGTGAGGGAAGCAGGGGCAGAGACGGTCTGGGAGACGTGGTGAGAGGGGTCAGGACTGGAGGGGTCGAACCAGGAGCGGAGGGAGGAGGGAGGTGCTCCGAGGAGAGGGTGGTGGTGGGTGAACCAGAGACTGGGAGAAAAGGGGAAGGAAGGGACTCAAGGGGGGGGCCGGCGCAGCACCGGGAAGGGTGGCCTAGAAGCGGCTGAAAGCAAAGGGAGGGAATGTCTGATGAGGAGCGGGAGGAGGAGGTGCGCTTGTGGGGAGGGACCTCCGAGAATCTGTGGTGGGAGCAGACGGGATTCTTCTAGGAATGGAATTAAAGGAGATGCGGAGAGACTGGGCCATGAAAGTCGGAACTCAGGGAACGTGGTGTTAGGAAAGAAAATGTCCTTGTAAGACTAGGTGATTGAATTTGTGAAGTGAACATGTGGGCAGACACCTAGAATGGGGAGAGTTAAAGGGAAAAGGGGGGCTTTGAGGCAAATAAAATAATTGAGATGAATGGTAACTGGTCTCAGAAATAACGATGTTTGAGTCAAGATTTCGTAGAGGAAAGGATTTTGGAGAGGCAAGAGAAATTACTTGGTTTAGAGGAGGTATTGGTACACCTTGCAGGCGGTGGCTTGGGTCTCTATATAATGTCACAGGATTGATGTCCAGGCAAGGACTGGAAAGTTTTTATCTTCCAACCAGAAGGGTGGAAAAATTTTACCTCTTTTTCTTCTCCCATTTTCAGTAACCTGTTACCACAAGGATTTAAGATCTGTGAATCCATGGATATGGGTATGTTCCTCTTACATTGCTTTTTCTTGTTATCTCTTTAGAGTGTGAACATGTCTATGCCTCAACATTCCCCTCCATACCGAGCCCCCGGCTGCAGCATTCAAAGCCCCCACGGAGGCTGAGCCGAGCACAGAAACACAGCAGTGGGAGCAGCAACACCAGCACTGCCAACAGGTAGCAAGCTGGGGAGTTTGAGAAAGGGCACCTAGAGGGAGGAAGTACATGCTCAGGCAGAACTGGTGGCCCTGCTGCCCTCAGTTCTCTACTACCAAGAGTGGAACAGCATCAACAGCCAAATGAATCCCTTTACCATCATTCCTAGGGATTTGGCCCCTTTAAAATAATAAAGTCTAGGAATCATAACTTGACTGTCAAAGGAAAGTAATAGAATATGGAAAGATAGCCAGAGAAGTTCTTACTGGGATATTAAGTGGGGAGGTCTGTGACTGAGAGGGACAGTAAATTGACAGACCTGGCAGCTTGTGTCCATGCATGTAACTACATGCTAAGAGTTGTCTTGGATCAAGTTTAAAGTTGGATGACCTAAGAAGAATTTTAAAAAATCAGAAATAGCTCAGGGAGGATATAGAGCAGAGTCAACAGTTTTGTTAAAGGAATAAAAATATTTAGGTAGAATAGGAAGTTAGTGGGTATGGTCTATTTGTTGTTTAAGGATGAAAGGAAGACCATGCTGTGAAAGTTTTGTCTCATATTTAATGATAGGATTGAGTTGGTAAGGAACCTTTAAAGCCAAAAAAAGGATGGTGGGGAGAAGATGCTTATTCTTCAGTGAGAACAGATCTCTAGAAAATGCTTATCTGGATGTATTCAGATAGAGTTGACTTCCATTTTTTGAAAATTTTTGGTAGTGTCTGGCTATCTCTTTGTTCCAGAGGGCCAGTGAATTCTAAGGATTCATCTCACAAAGTTTTCAAAAGACCATCTTGAAATCCATAGATGCTGCCTTTTTGTTGATTAGAGAAATTAAATGAGACCATTTTACCTGATTTCAAAAGTTTTGTCTAGAGAATATAAATACTCATTTTGGAGGGGTGCCGAGCAACCTCTGGGTAACATCATTTGCCAGAAGGATTTGGGGAACTCCAGACAGGTAGTTTGGGTAGCCACTTGGGGAGGCAGGTAGAGTTGGAGTAGTGGCTCTTATTGATGCAGAAAACTTGAGTCTCCTGTAGATAACAGAGCTTAAAAGGTTAGATCTTCTGAGTCTGCAATTCTAACATCATTGGGCATAACTAGAATTCACTGTTCTCCTTTTAACTTATCTTTAAAGCTGTGTCTTTCCTTTTTGGCTTCTTAAGACTATTCTGTATTTTTTTAACTTAATTTTTAAACTTATAAAAATAATTAGCTATAGTCTTAAAAAGCTGTATTTATGATTATGTGTAGGTCTAGAGGGTTATGGTAGGTGTGGGTGAAAATATGTAGTATGATACGCAGCATTAAAAAATAATGTAAGTTTCTTGTTCTTCACAGTTTCTCTGGTTAAGGTATCAGCAGTTAAGATCTATATTCAGGAATTTATGGGTTTTTCAATCTATTTGTAGATTTAAAAAAAATTTTTTTTAACCTAGAGACATGGGAAGAGTACCAAATAAGAAACCAGACCTTGTTTCTGTCATTTTACAAGTATTTGTTGAGTCTTTCTATTTTTTAGAAATAAGGTATATGATCTCCTTACATTTTCTCTCTGTTCCTTACTGTTCTCATCTGTAAAATGAGGGGATGGGCTACCCACTCACCAAAGTCCGTTCTTTCCTGAAGTTCTGTGACACTAATTTAGTGACAGTTTTAGAGATCAGTTACTATATTAGCTATTAAGCATATCACCCCGTCATTACAGTTGTGACATTTTTGTTAATAAATCAAGGATTACAGAAGCATAAATAAGGTGTGTATTTCTAGATTTTACCAATTATGTTATAGGTCATTAATAAGTCTGTCTTTGTCATCTGTTGACTTGTACTTTGCTCAGCCTGGGGTTTTGACTAAGTGATGTTTCTCTTTCATGCTAATGTTCCTGGGTTAGGATTCTACTATTGTGTGTGGTACCATAGTGTGAATTACCATGTGTTTTAGTACAGTATTTCAGAAAATTTGTAGAAGTATAAGCATGCTATGTGTTCTTACAGTACCCAAGGGAAAAAATGCGTACATTAGTTCACCTAAGACTAAGAAAGGTCATTTTTCATGGTAATACAAGTAGAAAGAAAGAAAGAGAGAGAAATACATTTTAGAATATATTATGTCAAGGTCCACCTATTTATGTGGTTTAGGTAAGACCTATAGATGAGAACTAGCATGTTTAAGTGAAACACTAGAAACTATTTCTCCTTGCCATTTATTTAAAATTTCTACTTCATGGAGTAGGGGAGCCGAGGATCAAATTCTAGTCCTGGGGTACTTGGGAAATAGTATTAGTCCATTTTTAAGTGGACACAATAGATTTCCTGTTAACTTTAAGCCTATAACTGAATTTAATAGAGATTTTAATATACTGGTCATACAAAGCAGACGACTTGTAAAAATTTCATTAGTCGTCTGAAACAAGGAAAGGAGTAGAGTTGATGAGTATATGTGTCTTATTTTCCTGACCAAAAAGCTACCTATGTGGAGGTTGTTGTTCCTGTTATGCATCTTGAACACTGATATCTCATATATCATAAAATGGCATTTGTTTCCCTGACATTGTAGCATCTTTAAGCTATAACTTGGTTAATTTTTTTTCCCCTAATATTCTCAAGTATAATAAGATATCCTGATATAAAATGTTGTTTGATAAATTTATGCTGACAGTTCACTTATAATATTATAAATTCCTATTCCTCCTTTCCCACAAGTCTTGAAATCTTATTTCCTTAGGAGTGCAAGGGAGAGAAAACAAGAATGAAAATGTAAATTTTCATTACCTTGAAAATCCCACTTATTTTATCCTTTGGGATCCTTCTAACTGACATTTGGGAGATTAGACCAATAATATAAAAATTATTGTTTAAATACACAGTCACAAATACCTCTTGAGTCTGACTTCTCTTCTCTTACCTTCATTACTACCCTCCTAATCTAAGGTGCCATCATCTCTCACCTGGGCAATGCTGGAACCTCCTAACTTGTATCCCTGCCCCAATTCTGGTGAATTATATTGGCCAGCCCTCTTTTAGTTCCTTCAGTACACCATGTTTGCTTCTACCTCAGTGTCTTTGCACATACTCTGTTCTCTGCTAGGAATTGTTTTTCTTCCCCTTTTGCCAAATTATCCCTATCTAATAGCATTCTTACTTCAGCTTAATCATAACTTCTTTAGGGAGTTACAATTCTTCCTCATCTGCCAAAGTAGATCGGGTAATCACATACCTTATGGTACTTCTACTTTTCCTTCACAGTGTTTATCACAGTTTATAGAAATACAGTTATCTGATCAGATAAATTCATGTCTCATTCATTGGACTAAAAACTCCATGAAGGTAACAATGGAATCTCTTCTGTTTAAAGATTTATCCCTAGTACCTGTCACAGTGCCCTCTGTACACAGTAGGTGTTTCTTAAAGAGTGGAATGTTTTCAAACTCCAGGTAGACTGTCCTGATTTGGAACTGAGTTTCTCTTTTGTGCTGAGTATTGTATTAGATTCTGAAAGTAGAAAGGATGGAAGAATATACAACTCCTGCTTGGGCAGACTCTCTGATTACTTTGTATTCTAAAGGACGTTAATGATAATACATTTGGAAAGGAAAACATATAGTTTTTGAAGAAAAAAATCTCCAAGCTGCCAGTTCTTTGAAACAAGTTTATTATAGCAGACTACAAAATGCTACAATTAGTTTTAAAGAACATTCATTATCATCCTGTGTCATGAAATTGAAATGATACCCAAACTTGTATATGCAAAGAATCATAATTCTGTCAAATGTTGAGAATAACTATTGGTATGAGCCTGTGACATATAATAGTAATTGCATTATTTTAAGGCAACCTAGAAAGTAGTACCAATTTGTGCTTGATTTTCAAGATGATGAAAAATTCCTTCACAACAGCAGCAGTATTTCAGTTCCCCCAGTAAAACTGAAGACATTGAAAACCAAAACAAATTTCCTTTTGTTTGTAAGGCTTTAATTTAACTTTCCTTAAACTACTGAATAATGAAATGTCTTAGTCTTATTCTAGAAGAAATGTTTGTATTGTTATATTTTTAGCTTTATATACTTCTTGGCTATTTTATTCATGGGTTATTCGTTTTTTGGGCAGTGCTGGTAAGTTCTTTTTCTAGGATAGATGTTGAGGATTTATTCCCAGTGGAAGTAATTTGAGATTTGTTATATGTTCTGTTTTTATTAAACATGTACCTATTTGTTCACAGAACAATTGAATTGAAGCCTTATTTTTATTTTTGTGAAATTTCTTTCTACTTACTGTATGTTTTTCAAATTTTCTATATTAAGAAATAGTTTCTGGATCTTTGTTCAATAGAAAACTCCCAAGGTTTCAGGATAAGAGTGGAGAACAGTAGCAGTTAAACTCCTGATGATGTTAGTATTATTTTTTAGTATTTTCCACATGTTGAATGATTAATACATCCAGCATGATGTGTTGTCTGATACTCTATCTTCCACTAGAGCCAAGTTTAAGTAAAAATTATGAAGAATTTCTTACATACCTGATTCTAAACAAACCCAGACTTTCCATCAAATGCTTCATTGAAGCATAAGTTTGCTCTTGCTGGGTTTCTTAAGGATGGATTCCTCTCTGGAAGTAGCCTTTGAAGGAGGCTTGCATGAGCACACCTTATCAGTCAGTAGGACAACTGCCTCTGTTTCTATTTGATAGGAGATCTTTTGCCAGAATATTGAATATATGGTGTGGGAGATCACAGATCGTAGAAAGGGAATTCAGTATGTTGTCTGGTATAGTTCTCTGTTTTATGAAGGTAAGATATTATCACTTATTTTCTGGTTAAAGTGTGTGTGTCCTAGAGATGGTAAGTAATCTTCCCAAGTCATAGCTATATACAGTGGTTGAGTTTAATATCAAGCTGGATTTTAAGCAGTATATGTATCATTCTAACCAGACAGGACTGTTGACCTGAAAAAAACTTTCTCTTCTAGATTTACAAATGAAACAGCCATGCTTCCTTTTGGATATAGCATGAGTCTTCGTCAT